TGGCGTTTTGTTGACGAGAGTCCAGCAATGTCCTCGAGTTGGTACTTCGTGGCCTCATCAACTAATTCTTGTTCTTTTCCTCTGAGAGAGGATATGTTCCAATTTTCGACTTTAAGCTCCCATTGGTGGTGCCTCCTCCATTCAGAACGGGTAGCGACTCTGTTGCTGACTGGTGTTATCGTCGTCGTTCCGTTGGTCTTCGTCAGCCGTTGTTGTGCTGCTGGTAAAGGGCGATGAGCCTGTTCTGGTCGCTGACTTTTCACATCCTGTTTTCGTGCCGCAACAGGCTGCACGGTCTTTGGTATCCGGTGCGACGACCGAGCCGGTATAATTTTTGAAGGCGTCAATACCATGGGTGGCAGGTGGCTAAATGTTGCGTAGACTTTGCCACGATCTCAAACCCTCCTCGTTTCTGAATCGGCCTGGGGACCGCAACAGCGGAGTTGAGCGTTTTATGGCACCAGATCATATGATATGTCGAGGATAAGTCGGTCAGTACCATAACGGTTTTCACGTTGGAAACCTAGCTTATGACAAGCCTGTAACGCAGGGATATCGCTCGCAAATGTTTGAGGCGTAGCGAGTGTAAGTTCCATAAGGAAGACAGGCGTGGATGATTGGACCAGTCCTCTTTAGAAAAATTCACTTCTTTATTTCTTCGTTGTGCACATCAGCGAGATAGGGTTGCAGCTGTCTAGCCTCTCAAGTGGTTTTCCAAAATTCAGAAAGGCCCTAGCTTTAGCAGGCCATCAGAAAGATGGAATATAATTTGTTTTGTTGCGCACTGTTGATCGACCGCGGCCTGTGCTTTGATTTCGACGTCGTTAAAAAGTCAGTAAACGTCCGGTTTATGCGATAGCTTTCTGTCCTTTTTGGCTGCCGGAACCTTTGTTTTCGTCATGAAATTATGAGGCTTCATTCAGAACAGATGCGAAGGTTGTGATATGATTATTTCTGTGCTACCGCTTTTACTGTCAGCTCTAGCTCTTCTACTATGTGTAAAAGGATAGTCAGCGATGAAGAAGTCCGAACAACTTTCGCGACCATTTTTGCTGGTTCAGCGGATGAATACCGTGCCTTGTGACACGAATGTGTGAGGTATTCTAAACTTTCCGCAGTCTCTCGTCATCGCTCTTTAACGCGCAGACTCCAGGGATTTCGTAAGCGCCACCCGTGTTCCACTCGATTCTGGTGTTCGTTATTCTTTCTAAATTCTCTCCTTGATCTTCGACCCTTACATATGTTGGTTTTCATGT